TGAGGACCTATGAAATAAAGCATAACAAGTGGGATACTTACCTTAAAACCTTAATACCCTAAGCAAACATTCAGGCTCAAGGCGCCTACACCGTGTGTCAACAACAAACAGTCACAAACAGCTGGCTATCGTGCAAAAATAACGCAGCATGGTCGAGACAGCTTCTTTGCGGCTTTCATTAACACGCGTTATAATCAACAATTACCCCACAGATAACTCCGCACCAAACACACTTTAAACAGGCAATCCGATTAGGAGTGGTCAGCATACGCGCCACTGGTGTCGGTTGCGAGCCATGCCCTGTAAAGTCTCGAGCGAAGCACAAGGCGAGTCACGTGGATTCCAGCCCCGAAGGCGAGACGGACGAACGACACCCAGTTTGGTCGTCAGTGACTTCATTTCCCACTGCCAATTCAACTTCTGTCCACCTCGAGCCTTGCGCCACCCTACACCTGGCAGACTAAACAAGGCTCTCCTAGGTAAGCGGTGACCAGGTATATGTTGCAGGTGCCCGAGCCAAGGCAACTAATTCAGTGCTAAATGTTGTTCTAGGGAGCTAGCATGATTATCACCACCTAGTTCTCGCCTACGCACATCATCGTTGCGGACAAGCTTGTGCCATCCGACTCCAGCAATACTTCGCAGACAACGATGATCAAAGAATTGAAGGCGCCTCAGATCTTCAGACCGAACGGGGCCAAGTCTCACTACCATAGAGCAGAACGGTCCTCACTGTGCCCTTGTATACCCGGCTTTTCAGACGTAGGGAAACTCCCTCCTGTCGCCAAAGATGCCGCAGATTCAAGAATATAGCTCTGGCCTTTGTAATACGTGAGCTGACGTCAGTTTGTATGCGCCCATCGCTGCTGATACAGTGGCCAAGGTAAGTGATATGATCAACCACATCGAGTTCCTCGATAACAAGCGTCAAGGTGTCATCAAGTGGCTGGTGGTCCTGCAGCAACACTTTGCAATTTGGAGCTGCGGAGTGCATACCAAATAATGGGACCACTCTAGACAGGCTATTCAGGGTTGATTGGGCCGTCGCAACGTCGTCGAAAATCAACATGATATCGTCCGTATAATCTAGGTCAACTAACCTTTCACCAGGCAGCACTTCAACGCCTACATCGTGAGATTCCGCAAGCGAACACCACACGATAGAATCCACGACGAAATTGAAGAGAAATGGGGAAACCGGATATCCATGACGAACGCCACTTGTGGTCGGAAAGCTATCCGTTAGGACACCGTAGACCCTGACGCGGCCTGTAGTGTTCGAGTATAGGGCACGTAAGATGTTCATATGTCTCGTGGGAACACCCTTCCGCCCAAGTATTTCGAACAGAATCGATCCATGAACTGAATCGAACGCACTCTTGAAATCGAGGTGCAAAGCTATTGTCGATCTGTGGTAGGCGTAGCGCTGCTCTAGCACTTACCGCAAAGTGAATATATGGTCTATACAGCCGCCTTCTGCGCGGAAACCTGCATGTCCGTCCATAATCCGAGATTCCCGTTCCGCAGTGAAGCGACGAACGAGAATCGAGGCCAGTAATTTTGTCACAATTGGCATTAGGCTAATACCGCTGTAGTTAGTACAGTCTGTCCGACTGCCCTTCGTGTATGTTACCACTATAATCGATCCGCTCTAATTAGACGGCACGCTCACTTCCTTCCAGATACGTTCGAACGGTGCGGTCAGTGCTTTGTAGAGGACCACACCTCCATCCTTACATAGTGCAGGTGGAAGGGAATCTGGGCCAGCGGCACGAAAACGATTGAGGGCTGTGATCTCGTTTCGGACATCAGCCTCCGACGGAGGTTCTAAATTAACCGTTCATGGCTCGTCCTGCCTCACCTGAGTAGGGAGTCGTCCGGGAGTAGGGGGCCAGCTGAACTGATCTTGAAAGCGTTCCGCCCAACGAGCCATACCGCGCTCCTCATTGTGTATCAGCGCACCCGTGTTGCCTCTGATTGTCGGACTGACGCCTGATTTCCTGAAACCAGTGGTGCGGATCAGCTGGAAGAGCTTGCGGTATTTGTCTATTGCTCCTGCCTCTTCCATTTTTTGCGCCCGAGTGGTCCACCGGGCTTCCTTATTAGCACGTAGGCTCCGCTTTTGAATGCGCCTAACAGCCAGTCTGCTCACATTATATTCAGAGCCAACCGGGAGTGTTCTTTAGAATTCCAACAGGTTCATCGACCTCTCGGATATCCAGTGACTGGTGCAGTGACGATGGATAATGCCACAAGCAGATGCTCCTGCGTCGTCTATGGCGGCCGAGATCCTATTCCACTGAAGCTCAGTGTCATTAGGAGAAGACAGCGGAAGTTCGGTTTGAAATGCTTGTTGATAATCTTGCTTGACCGAGGACGGAGATAATTTCTCAGTTGCCAAGCCGATGAGACGCTTGGTGCACTTCCCGATAAAATTCATGGAGAAACGACAACGCATCAAGGCATGATGAGAGTCGACACAGATACTCCAGTACGAGTGGCAATCCAGATTAGAACCACCTAACCTGTAACTTATGGCAATGTGGTCAATTTGGGTACATCGCTGGCCAGCTACAGGAGGACGCCAAGTGGCACTTCGGCGCCCACTGTGTCTAAAAGCAGTGCTAGTAAGAAACAACTGGTGCTCCGCACACAGTTGCAGCAGACGCTCACCGTTTTCCGTCCGTTTTCAGTCCACCCACCTGTGCTTCTAAAGAACTCAGAAGCCCAACTTGTGCGTTCATATCCTCTGCGTGTACTTTGACATTATCATAACTAGTAGCATTGCGTATTAGCGCGTTCAGTTCGTGATAGAATGTGTCCCTGACTGAATTTGAACTGCAGTCGTTGGGAGCATAAGCGGAAATCACAAACAAACAGCGTTTCATACTACTTCGTGAACCAACCTTAGCTGATGTCGTCAAACGGGCTGCACATAAACTGCTGTTCACCGGAATCCAATCAACCAACGATGGCACAGCGTTGGAGCTTATAATGGCACCTACACCAGCTTGACCCGTGAGTGCTGCATCGGCGTCTCCGGATGCGTGCAACCAATAAAGGGAGGATAAGCCCGGTATAGTTAATCCAACAACCCCATTAAAGTCACTGATCCCAATTTCGAACACACAACACACATCAATACCCAGCGTGTCCAAGGTACGTGCGAGTGCAGCCTGTTGACCTGTTTGTTTTAGAGTGCGAACGTTGAATGTCGCCATGGAAACGGGATAGCGGGGCCTTTTAAGGGAATTTTGCCGGTAGGCGTCCGATAAGCGCTGTTAGATGGTGGCTGCAGATACTTCTACTCCAGTGGCACTTAGGTTGCTGTCAATAAAGCTGGGAATTATAGAAGGAAGGTTAGTAATGGGGGTCGGGATGGGAGTAAGAGAAACAAGTGGAAAAGAAACAAGGCGCCAGCAGTAGCATGTTTTCGCTTTTCCGCCATGCTGTATGCTGCAGAAAAGGCGACCCTTGATAATACGCGACGGCCGATGCACGGTGAAGTTTATGTTTTAGGAAAATGTCATGGTTGTGTGTGGGCTGAGATACTGCCAGGGCGCCTAGACCTAAACAGGAGGACGAGTAGGGTTCTCAACCAAAGGCTTGTACTCAAAAGCCTGTTCGCAAGTCAGCGGGGAGGTGACATTGGTTTATTTTTATATGAATGGTCGCCATCCCATTTCAAACCTCCAACCTGGAGGACCAAGAGACTGAGTTTATCTGACCTCTCACCATAGACCAACCTGGTAGGAGTAGGTCTTAAGGTGTCTGGAGGTATCACCCAGTATAGCTCAACGGGTCATTGAGGTACACAAACCGTCGCACCACTTTAAGGTCCAGTCTCGTTGCGACGGCTTACTGACTGCGACGACATGCAATACATATTTGTGTATAGAATGTCTACATACAAGTGTATATTTGTATATATGCTACATAACTACTGACCTGCATTATTCATGGGCACAGTCGCTTGCGACAGCGAACAATTGAACAATAAATATTTATTTAGATATTCCCTCTGTCCACTAGCTTAGACCAGGTTGGTGACAATGTACTCGTTTTCTTTACTACCTATGTCTCATTTTCAGCAAATCAATTTGACAGAGACATATGTAGACCTTGACGTTGCAAGATTTAGGTATTTGATCTCCGACTGGCAGGCTGCTACTTGCTTCGCAATTGTGATGAGGGTTATACATTAAAACAATCTTCTCTCCTGTACTCTTGTAGTAAACCGTTGCTTGATATAAATATGAAAGTCATACCCCAGAAACCGCTTTCCCAAGTTAGGTGTTGGCAGAAAAGTTACACTTATATTCCTTAGTGCTTTGAGGATGAATCTCGCAGCTGATTCACTTTTAGAATTAGGAAAGGAAATTAATTTATCTGTTAAAAGTACTCATGACAAATGCGATAACCTATCGGTCAGCACCATATAGCAAATTATCAGGGTATTAACAATATTTATTACTATAGCGCAGTTCTACGCCAGGCAAAATAAAGAACGTATGACAGTTGTCCTCAAAGCATGGGTGCTAATTTGACTCATTAGCAATTGTAAACCGTGATCAGCATATGTCAACGACTATTTTGTGCACGAACTCATAATTGGGATTTCTCTACCCCATTTTCCGTAAAGTTTAAAATTAAGGAGAATCCATGGACAAGATACCTGAAAAGGACACCGCAACCGTCATTATGCAATGTGGACATTTTTCTAGTGGGTGATCAAGTAGCTAACATTTCAGATGAAAGTAATAAGTAAAGAGCGCTGACTATTTCGTTGGATTTTTCCCCCGGGCCAATGCCCATGTCGCGTGGGCGCGTGCGTCCCATTGGCACGCGTCACCACAACGGTGGCAGCCACGTGACACCGGTCAGGCGCTAACGTGGGTATGGGAACCAATCGGCGTGGATTAAACCTCGTCAGACAAGCCCGAAGAAAGTGCTGTCGCTTTGTATATAAGCTCGACATATTCCGCTATGTTTAGGTCGTTCTGGTTGTTACGCCGTGCTATAATCGATCGCAAATTCCACTTCTGCCCGTGCAACACCCAAGCCAAACCTTACTTCACTGTCTGTGCTCTATCTGTGACATTTTTGATTACAATGTTTGTGCCCAGCTTATCATCGGCGTCACACGATGTGGATGTATCTATGTTTACTGATGCGCACATTGATCAAGAAAATCACACCACCCAAGTGAAGCAATATCCCAACTTAAATAGAAACGCGCTGGCCAACTTGGACTGCAATTCTACACAACTTTTGCCTACAGGTGATTGCTCAAGGATCTACAAGCCACCTACACAGCAACAGCCTAAAAAACCCAGTTTTAAGCCAAAAAAGCTGGACGCGCAGACTGACGCTAGGGCGGGAAACATCCTGGTATCTCGTCGAAACGAACGTGAACGTAACCGCGTTCGCCTCATGAACATGGGATTTGAACGACTTCGAGCAGTTGTGCCCAGTCATTCCGGTGAACAGCTCAGCAAGATATCGACACTGAAGAAGGCCATCTGGTACATTGAGCACTTGGATAGGGTGTTGCACGGGCAGAATGAACCCCCACTGTCTATTCCGTATCCAGCCATTACCACAATCCCATCTACTGTCGTGGTGGCGCAGGATTCCAAAACTTTTCTATCCACGTGCGACAATGGGGGGACTACTCGGATCGGCGTGGCAGGCGTGGGGACTGGAGCGACCTCCTGGTCTTCCCCCGCAAACACCCCTGGGTTTCACACAATCCGAGGGGGAAGACCGGTGCAACATGCGTCATCACCCATCTTTCCTTCAAGATGGGATATTGGATGTGCCAACAATATCATAGCATCTACTCCGAAATTCCCGCACTGTGGGCCAGGACCGTCAGCTGGTGCTGTAAACTGTTTTGATGATTCCGGCTATTTAAGCCTGGAGGCCAAACAGCATCCTTTTTATAACCTAGAAAGCTACGGATTTCCTATACCACCACTGTTGTCTCAGCGCCCGCCTGGTTCCACACATGGCATCGCTAATTTCAGAGATCAATAGGTGGGATTGTCTCCTTCCAAACTCAGCTGGGCAAATCACAGTACCTTGAAAACAACTCGTTTGATGGTGAGTCCATATGAACTGTAACTGTTTAAATGGGGCTTCAGTAATCGACTCTTTTGGGCCCGAGCTTGATGACTGAACTCGAGGTTGTATAACAGTAATTGTCAAAACAAGTTGCTAGTGATCTGACCATAAAGCGTGTTTCCTTGTTGCAACCGTAAAACCTTTTTTCTCATTGCTGCTGTATGAAGAAGTAGCGGAGTAGTGAAAGAAAATCTACTAGCAGGAGTGATATAGTGGGCCACTAGACGGCCACATATTAGTGTAGCAACTAAGATTGAGACGGCGCCCCAAAACTCTTCGAATAAACTGTATTTAGAAAGTCCGCTATATAAAACAACATTACTTATACTGGCTTTTTCACTTCGTTTGCTTGTCGTAGATGCCAGTGGACCTCCTCGGTTCGGAGAGAGAACGGCAACGAAATCGGAACATGGGAACGATGCTATCGGTGAAATTGGCCTAATGAGGTCGAGTTCAGGATCTATGTGCATTTTCAGGCTATTTTTCTACTCTATCCACTGATACATTTTTATTTGTAATCTTTATTTTACGAATACACTGCATTCAAACTTCAGTATCAAGCCCTAGGCTAACCGCTGTGATGGGTGGTGTTGCAACATTGCAGGGCTTTTCATGTGTTCGAACTTTGAACTTGCTTTAATCAAGCTCACTCTGTATAGATAACGCGGGTATGCGCGCATGGCGGTGTCGGATGACTGTTAGGGATCCATAAGGAACATCCGTAAGAATGCGAACGAGGGCATCCTGAAAACCATGGGAATACTAACCAAATGCTAAACATTTGCAAGGACGACTGCAAGACGTGAGAGAATGAAAAAACATTACGCAAAGCTGACAGCCCCAACATGCAGCACACGGAAAAACAATGGCAGATGTTCACGTATCGAGCAGGGTAAATCATGTGGTAAAGAGCCCACGACCGTGATACAATCGTTCAGGAGCTAAGCGCAGCCGAAAGGAACGTATTGGTGACTCCATGACATCGATGAGTAAAGAACAAAGAAAGTGGTTTCCTACAGCATCCCTGAAATGATATTCCCTTGATGGGCCGGCGAGTGCGTAACTACCTCTAGTAAGTCGCGTTGCGTATTCCTGCAGTGGAGTGTGGCAATTGCTTCAAATAAGCATGCTGTCGCCAATCCGGACTTGGTTCTGCTCATATTGTGAGAGTGGTCACAGATGCATCTAACCGGCCACCAATGCACGGTGACCGGGAGTTACATGCTCCGATTATTACGGATAGATCGGCCGGACAGTTTCCGGGGTACATTAAGGGAAATAACCCCTCACCACAGCACGCTAGACCAATGTCATAACAACTTCGACAGCGAATGCAAATTATTTAGTTAGTGCAGTGGAATTGCGCTGTTGCTTTGCTAGATAACTTCACAGGATATCGTACGAAAGGTTAAAGAAGACAGAACAACGGAGAATTAAAATGCTGTTTGGGTTCATTCGAAGCAACCGGTAGGGTGAATATACTCCGATGGCAACTCGCCTTGAAATCAACTTCAACCAATTCGGCCTCTTGGACCGCAGTTGGAACACATAAATTTTGCATGTTATCCATTCACAAAAACGTATCGCTTGGTTGCATACTTACTTGATTGCATACGTCATTTGGAGAGAGTGCACTTTCCACTCGCAGCGGGGACGTAGAGGCTGCAGGCTATTTTTCCCACGCCACGGAGTCGCGGGGGGAGTAGTTAACGATTGATTAATGGTCTATTCCTAAGCCCCCGTTGTGTGAATGAATGGCGACATGCAATCTCCATGATATTAGAACGCAAACGGTTCCGTCCTCGACTGAATCATGTGAACATGAATATCTGGCATTTCCGAAACGCTTCAGAGTGGAACTATATGTATACTATCTATACTAGGGGTTAATACGAGCGTACAAATAAACAGATCGTTTGGTCTCTCTGTATCTGCTGTCAATGAATTTGAGTCGAGATTGCATGGATGAGAGAACCATAGCGATGTGGCTGTACTCGGTACTATGTTTTTGGGGTCTCAGTCAGCAGAATAGCATCTTTCAGATCAGCAGATATTTATGACAATGACCATTGGCAATGCCATTCGGACAACTGATAGACACAGTTGGCATGCGGTTAGCTCTGTTCGATTCGAAATATTTTGTAAACCGTTATTCCAGTTTAATGTAACTGTTAATGACACCAGGCACTTCTCGTGTTGAGACAGAACTGAATGAAGGTAAAAAAGTAAAATGTAAACGAGTTTTATATTTGTCTCATGAAAAATATTAGGTTATGAGCATACGAGCCTGTTGAGTAAAAAGATATGTTTTTCATGTGTGTCATCGAGGGAAGAGATTGAGAAAACTCCTGACAATTTGCGGCCGCATAACGAAACATCTCTGATGGTGCGGCATTGCGCGCTAAATCTAACACGGTTTCGGATAAATATGAAGAATATGGAATATACTTGATACCTACAGCGTCCACCGAGGGTACGACTCTATTTTCCCTTTACTGGAAACGTTGTACTAATCGGCTAAGAAATAGTATGTCCGCTCATAAAGGTGTAGGAATTGTACAGTTAAGTTTAGACGGCTTTCGCTGCCTCAAATATATTCGGAAAAGGAGTGACCTTGAGCAACTAGGCAATCAATAAAAGTTTTACGTGAGTTAGTTGTACAGCCCGTTAGACTAGAGCAACCAGCTAAGTCGAAGTGCATGCCCAACAACGACCTGTACTCAGTGAGCACCGACCGCCGTGAGAACAAACACGCGGTTGAAAAAAGTGATATTGAAGACGGAAAGCAGAGATTATAGTTACGGGTGGTGCCAATCTTACGTCAGCTTAGATGTTCAGCAACAATGCAGTTTCTAGCTGACAGATCACAAGAAAAATCGGAGGTTACTGGTATTGTTATCCGTGATGTTATCTATGCGCGAGCTACCGCTCCAAAACCTTCGATTGTGTGCAAATGGAAAGTGGAGAAATACACTTTATCTGACGACCAGGGCGATGACGACTGGATGTTAACATACTGCTGATGAAGTATTTAGCATTCAGTGATTTTTTCCTAGATTTGGAAGTGCTGTTGGTTGTTGAAATTAGAATGATATCACTACGTAATACTGCTAGGTGGGCAGACATTTTAAAAAAGATGAACATACAAACTGGGGCTTAGATGCGAAGAGTTGAGGCAGGTGGTAGTGTGATAGCGGTAAATTGAGGCGTTGAGGGAATAACAGGCAACTTTATGAGATGTACTTCCGAGAGTGCTCCACTTAACACCATCCATTCTCTGTTGTTTTTTTAATTGCCGAGTATAAAATACGATGCTTTGTAGGTGTTACAGCCGGACATCTACCAAGCTAGGACAATCCACAGAAAAATGGTCTTTCTTGTCTAAGGCGTCATTTCTATAACTACGAGCGGCCGTTAGGTACTAAACGCAAACCACAGAATTGTTGCTCGATGTGGGTACTCTAGTATGGTTAATTAGACTTACTAATTTGCGATTGTGCCCGTGGCTAAGGATGATATGTTGAAGGTATCGACTGATGTTTCCTGGAAAATTGGGTAAAGCAGCTGAGGTTTAAACTGTCTTAAAACTATCATACGAAAATATTTCTGACTACAGGGATTTCAATCTAGGAGAAAGGGCCTGGTGAGTACCATTAGTAGCCTCAGTAACCGGAATAATATTGGTTTCACATAATGTCATGCTTTTGCACAGTTAATGTCCGGTGTGTTGTGGAGCCATTTCCCCAGAGTACAGCGATAATCGACGAATGTTGTGGTCACTGTAAGTCAGAAGTTCGCTTGGTCCATTCCTGCTGTTACCAGTTGAGTAAAAGAGGCTGAAGATTGACTAGAATTTCGACTACACAGGAAGGCATGTTGTGCTAGGTTCCACTGTAGTGAGCTCTTTGGGTCACTGAGCTAAATTTGTCACAAAGAAGTGTCAGAGAACTAAACGTTGTATGAAAAAATTAGTTGTACGCGAAACGGATTGCAAGGTTCCATAAAGTTCCCACCTATTCATTTTTACCCAACTTTCCCAACTTCTTAGATGATCCACCGGTTGCATTAATATGATAATAAGTGTCTCAGTGCTTCATCTTCCAATCGTACAGCCACACACAATTAAAGTAGCTGCGTCTGATTTGATCGAACTATTTCAACTTCATTGGCGCGCAGGTCCCGTACCAACGCACAAACGGCAACACACTTGGTTGTTTCCTCCTCGGTATCCTCGGTCAACAGTAGTATCAGAAGATGGAATTGTGTTGAGAGTGACGGTAGCCCGGAAGAAAGTGAGTGTTGGTAGCAAACCTACTGGTAAGCCAGTTTCACTTGTCATGGATTGGAGTCATCCGTGTACGCATTTGCTTGTCACTTGTTATGTATAAGCAAATGGACAACCGGTTGGTTGTACGGGGGAAAAATGTGTTAGTGGGGTCCACTTTGGATGCACTATTTAATGGTTAGACGTCTCCGTGGTTAGTACTGACTCCAGCGCCGCTTAGTCGCTGCTAATGTGAACAGAGCTCTCTAGTTCACTGGGATAGACACTGAAAAGCTTAATTGAGGTACAGTACACAGCACATTTAGGCTAGTAAACTGTCCCGGAGATTTATTTCTACCAATTTTAGGGCCACTTGGAGGTAATGGATTTCTTGATGCGCATCAGAAATGGATCTGCTAAGCTACATGTTTTGAATCAGCAGACCCTACACATAAGTCGATTCTTCACTTTACGCATATTCGTGCCCATTGTATCAGCCAGACGAAACAACAACAAACATTTTCGTTGTTGTCTCAAAGCAACCTAATCAAAATGCATTCCTTCGAACCCAGGTAACTGGTCTGTACATTTATCGTCTGATAAGATTGTGTGGGCTCCCTGTTAATCTTTGATTTTAGTACAGGCTTTA